TTCTCAAAAAGCTATCATCATCTTGTTCTTGTCTCTATAAATTATCCCTCTCCAAAGCTGCATTCAGTCGAACTTCCGCACATACGAAAAAAAAACGTAGTGCGTAGTATTGACATACTTGAGAATTTTTATTTTTATCAGAAGATTAATATTATTTTCTACTTTATTTTCACACAAGCAAAAATCTTTGGACAACTCGGAACACTTTTGTCATCCTTGTGATACATCATTTTTTATATAGCTAATGACGTTTAATCAGTTGTAACGAAAACAACAAAAAGACGTTTAATCTACATGATTTATTTGAGTTATTATTACATGAGTAATAAGTCTAGGTAGCTACCTTCACTTAACATCAAGACATGCGCCTTCTTCCTCCTTTTTAGCCCAAAATATAAATTTTTTTAAGAAAGTGAAACACACGCACCACTCCTCCCTAATTTAAGGAAATGGGTTTTAAAATTTTCTTTGATCTTCAAATGATTTTATTTCATGACCGTAAAGAATTAGATCAAGTGTCTTATATCATTTTTATAGTATTCGATGAGATCTATCCAACAAAATCTCTCATGAATATATTTTTTGAAAATTAAAAAAATTTATTTAGTTGTTTGGGTCTCCCTTAAAGACACTCTGATCTTACTTGTGCAAAACATTTTGGTCTTTTTATTTTTTGTTGTAGGTCTTGTTTTTTATGTATTTCACTTGGTGATCCTGAAAAGCACTCTAGCCGTGCTTGTTTGTACTACTGATCTTTGTTATTTGGTTCTTGGCAATTGACCTTTGGTCTTTAGTCTTTGCTCCTCATACACGCTCGTTCTTTACTTTGGTCTTTGGTCTTCAGTTTTTGATTTTTACTCTTTGTTCTTTAGTCTTTGGTATGTCCTGCTCATACATTCTCGCTCTTCACTCTGGTCCTTGCACTCTGGTTTTTGATCTTTGGTTTTTAGTGTTTTAGTCTTTGATATTTGTTCCCCACATATGATCACTCTTCATTCTGGTCTTTGGTCGTTGGCCTTCGATTCTTGGTCTTTGGCCTTTGATTCTTGGTCTTCGGTCTTTGCTCTCTAGTCAATGGGTTTTGATTTTCGGTCTTTCCTCCTCACACACTGTCGCTCTTCACTCTGGTGTTTGGTCTTCGGTGTTTTATCTTTGTTCTTAAGTTTTTTGGTCTTTGGGCTTTGGTCTTTGGCCTTTGATCTTTAGTCTTTACTCCTCACACATGCTCGCTCTTCACACAGGTCTTTGGTTTTTGGTCTTCAGCTTTTTTGTCTTTGGTCTTTGCTCCTCACATACGGTCAGTTTTTTGGTCATTAATTAAAGAAGCAATCTGTTAATTGGGTGGCTTCACCCCCCATGATAAGCTAAACGACTCCCGCGGCTACCAGAATAGCAAGTCACCAACCCGCCCGTGGTTGCGCCACCCCCGCCGAACATGCCAATTTTCATAAGGTCAATCATTTCTTCGTGTATGTATAAGGAGAGGGTTTATGTGAGGAGCAGGTTTTTGTGATGAACGGCATGTACTTCACGACAGATGCTCATGTACCCTTCATCTACCGTGCTTTTTGGCTGCCTGCGCGGCCATTCGTACTAAAATTGAAAATCTTTTTTTGGAGGAGATATCGAAGCGGGCGTGTGTGAGGAGCGGGTGTGTATGAGGAGCGGTCATTTGTGAGTTCCGGCAGATGCTCATGTAGCTTTTGGCTAGCATGGGCGTGTGTGAGGAGCGTTGCGGCAAATGTTCACGTAGCCTTCGGCTAGCGTGCATCTTTTGGGGACTATATTGGACCGAGCTTGCATGAAGAAGATAATCTGTATTTCTTCTTGGTATTAATGGTCTGTATTCCTCTATATAATTTGTTTTATAGCTTTATTAAATACTTTCAAATTTTATGCAACTGTAATTTGTTTTATGGTGTTACTCTATATAATTTTAAATTTAATGTATTGCAATTCACTTTATGGTCTTGTTATATGATTTGAAAGGTTATGCAGTTCATTTTATATCGTCTTATTGTATAATTTACAATTATATTAAGTTAGAAATTGGAACTAAAGTGAAAAAATAAATTGCAAAAAAAAAAAACTAGTGAAGTTTTCTATTGTTAAATAATCAAAATAGAGGATAAATGCACAATATCACAATTCCCAAAAAAATCCACTAAATCCAAAAAAAAACAAGGAAAAGTCTAATTAAGAAAATCACTAAACCAAATTAAAAAAATCATAAAAAACCCATCTAAAATTCCCCTCTAAATAAAAAAAAAAAAAAAGAAAAACAAAGCCCAAAATCCACCCTAAACCAAAAATTAAAAAAAAAAAAGAAAAGAAAAAAGTAGCCGCGCATTAAGTGCAGCTAGCTGGCTACACTTAATGTGCAGAGAATAATTTTCGATTTATTTGCGTCGCATAGATAAACAAAAGATAATGAAATAATGCATGTTAGTGCAAATTTTCCAACAGCCCGCTGGGTAATTAATTAAATAGTTGAGACGTCCCCTCGGCATGCGTCTAACACAACAAGCTCATTAATACACATGAATAAACAACGTTAGTGCTTCAACTTCACTCGTTTTGTATTCTCTCTTGAGCTATCTATCATCATCTCTCGCTATAAATTGATTTAACATGAATGAATTCTTTTACACTTAATTCATGACCATTCAACTGTTTTCTACATTTGTGTTTCTTTTAACCCTAGCTACAAATTTCTTGTACTCTCAACTTCTGAGAAAATATGGGTGGTTCGTCTTATTACCAGTGGGTATTTGGTGATCAAATGAACATTGTTTTAATGGTATGTACGGGCAACGGTAAAAGTGCCGCAGGGAATAGCATAATTGCTAAGAAAGTATTCACATCAAAGTATTGTTTTGATGTGAATACACATGAATAAACAACGTTAGTGCTTCATTAATACACATGAATAAACAACGTTAGTGCTTCAACTTCACTCCTTTTGTATTCTCTCTTGAGCTATCTATCATTATCTCTCGCTATAAATTGATTTTACATGAATGAATTCTTTTACAGTTGTTTCATGACCATTCAACTGTTTTCTACATTTGTGTTTCTTTTAACCCTAGCTACAAATTTCTTGTACTCTCGACTTCTGAGAAAATATGGGTGGTTCGTCTTATTACCAGTGGGTATTTGGTGATCAAATGAACATTGTTTTAATGGTATGTACGGGCAACGGTAAAAGTGCCACAGGGAATAGCATAATTGCTAAGAAAGTATTCACATCAAAGTATTGTTTTGGAGGCGCTACATATACTTGTGAACGTCAATCGGTTAACCTTTCGGACGGCCGTGTTCTTCATGTCATCGACACTCCAGGTAATGAATGTTTCTTTTCGATTCTATATTGATGCACAATATTTCACCCGTTCCGAAATTATAGTGTAATTTGAATGTACTAAAAGATAAAATCTAAAGTAGACTAGAATTTTGGGATGGAGGTCATAATAATAATAGTCCTTATTTGCAATTGCCGATATTGTTAAAAATATATTGTTTGGATTCTTATAATCCAGGTCTCTTTGATTCTGCTGTAAACCCCCAATCTATCAAAGAAGAGATTGTGAAATGTATCGAGGTGGTAAAGATGGCATACATGCGATTTTAATGGTTGTGTCGCTGAAATATCGATATAGCGACGAACAAGTTTATTTGGTGAAAGAATAATGGACTATATGATTGTTACGTTCACTGGAGGGGATGAAATCGAAGAAAACGAAACAACTTTGGAAGAACACTTGGCTTCTGCCTGTCCAGAGGCACTTATTGTAAGCATACGATTTCATTAGGTTTCTTATAGGGGTGCGGGTACTTGAATGAACTTGTAAAAATTTTCCTGAATTAGCCATAACTTTTCCAATTTACTAATAACTTGCATCGTAAATCATTTTGTTTTCACTTTATCATCTAAAGTGCTGGAATAGGAAAATTCAGAAAACGGGAATTGTGAACAACAAAACAACAAATTAGTATACAGTGACATATACTTCTCTCTAATTAATTACTATAATAATAAAGCAAAAAATAGGGCACCGAATATACTAAACCCTAGAATAAATACAATTTTGATCGTAAAGGAAAAAATTAATCCTTATTCAATCTAGCAGATCGACGAACTTGAATTCTCTTTTTAGTCTTGGCTTTCTTCGAATGATTGTGATAAGTTTGAGCATAAACCTCACTGTAAAATGATTCTTGTTCCATTGCGTATTCCATATCGAAATCATCGCCTTCTGATCCATCATGATCTTTCCTTATCTCACCTTCGGAATGGATGTCATCATTCAAAAAATTTGTATCAACAGATTCTTTATAATTCTCGATCTCTGTATCATATTTGGAGAGATATTGTTTTGGGGCTAAAATAGGAAGTACCACTTGAAGTTACGTTGAGGAATTCGTGGAGAGTAAGAGAATTCAGTGGCTTCAGGATGTAATTTTTTACTGAAGCAGTTAAAAGAGTTATTTATGGGAGAGATTCCTTCCAAATTGAAAGGAGAGGATTGTGGTTGAGACTGACGTGGTAAAAGATTGACTTTGAATTATCCACGTTCAAAATTTTAGAGTCCGGGTGAGATGGCTTTGACTGCACAATGTTCGCTGAAATCATGGGATTCTGGAGCGCAAGAGCTGGCAATGAAGACTCGGGATTCTGGTGCGCAAGTGGCCGCGAAATCAGAGGAGCTTCCATCAACGACTCTCGCCGGACTTCTTCTGATTCCGGCCGAAAAATGTGTTTCGGTGCTGGACATTCCGTAGTCGGAGGTTGCGAAGTGCTAGAATTTGATGGTTGAACCGATGGTGAGTAGAGCTTATCCATAGAAGCGACGACTTTGTTTCACTGATCATTAGTTCCATGGTTGGGGAGCGATTCAAGGGTTTGCTCTGCCGATGCGCTTGAAGGAGGAGCAACAACATCAACAATGGTTCGGTGTGATGTTTCTTTAGTGGGGGCAGTGACATCAGCAACAGTGCGCTCAACAGCTCCAGTAGCAGTTGATGAGAGTGGGTGATCTAATTCGAACTTCTCTTTTTGGCGACAGTGGCTTCGCAACAGTAGTAGGAGGCGGATTGGCATCAACAGGGATGACTTCCATCCGAGAGTGAACAACCAGCGGCGGTGGGCTTTCTGGAATATCAACAGGAACCATAAGCTTTAACTTCACAGTCAATCTAGAGGTCGATACCTCTAGAGCTTTCGCCGGCTGCGGAACTGCTTCCGGCGGGTTTTCAACTTGGGCTTTCTCAATTGGTACGACAGACTCATCTTGCAGCCGCGACGACTTACTAACTTGTGAGGGTTTTGGATCGCCATTGGCTGGGTCAACTTGCAACTTTAGCAGCGATTCATCAACAACCAGAGGAGTTCCTTGCTTTCCTTGTTCTTGCGGCTGTTGCTTTGAACGGGGATGATCAATCTTTTGTGATGATAAAACCTTTATATTGTGTCAACAAGAGTGAGCTTCATGCCCAATCCTTTTACAATTAATACAATATAGAGGCATATTTTCGTAAAGAACGGATTGACAATAAGAGTTCCCTACGACTCCCAAATGTATTCGGATGGGATGATCCTTAAGAAGATCGATTTCAACGCAAACTCGTGCAACCAAAGGACGTGACATATTAAGAGTTGGAACATCAATTTCAAGTGTATTTCCAATGATGCTAGCAAGTTTTCACAAGTAGTCTTTATTGAAGCGATGAATGGGAAGACCTTCGAAGGAGATCCAAATTGGAACAATGGAACTTTCATGCGCGGGATTAAAGTTCATGGTCCATTTTAAAACTCACATGTGATGCTTGTCAGAGGTCCACAATCCTTTAAGCCAACAGCGATGAAAATCCTCTTCTATAACAAAGGATACGAGGATGTGTCGATAATCAATTGACCGAATTGAAAAATTCCCTTTGAAGCTAATGATTTGGAATTCTCTCCGTAGATAGTCCATTTTTTACCTAACTTTTGTGAAAATTCCTACTAGAGCAAGACAAAATGAGGCTGCCAATTGTTCATCTTCTTCTTTTGTAAGAAGAAAAGTTGGCTCTCCTTTAAATAAAGTTAGCTCCGAGTGGATAACGGGTGAGCTGAGAGATTGATTCTATGTGTGTATTGTTTTTGGATTAGAGGTAGAGCTTAAAATCTGTGCAAATGATGGCCGTTGAAGGGGTGTTAGGCCTATGGCCGGCGGCGGGGTTAGGGGAGAGAGGAGAGAGGAGAGCTAGTTATTTTTACTACTATTACTTTTATATCATAAATGGGTGATTGTTTAATATAATTTACTCAAGAAGTGCGGAAACCGGAAAGTTGTCTTCGACAATAGAACTAAAGACCAGGGCAAGAATTGTGAGCAACTTAAAAATCTGCTGACGCTTGTGAGCAGTACGGTCGAGAAAAATGGAGGAGTTCTTAAAACTTTTCAAGGAACAAAATTAGTCATCAATTTTTTTTTCCCTTCTTATTTTATGGAAAAGGTCGAGGAGAAGCTGAAGATAAAGGAAGAAGAAAAGATGAAGAAGTTGAAAGAAGAAACAGAGAGAGTAAGGAAGCAGCTGGAAGAGGAGGGTTGGAAAAAGAGAGAACAAGCAAAGCAGGAGATGGCTAGGTTACAGGCAGAAATTGACAGACTCCAACGAGAAATGGGGATGCAGTATTATGTGATCACCACTATATATTCTGTCTGTGACGGATTCCATTTTATCATTAGTCTATTCTTATTGAGCATTAATGAATTTTTTTATGACACTATTTGTTGTCCTAAGAATATTTATATTCTTGATGAGATTTTAAGTCCCAACAATAAAATTTATTTGGTCTTTCTTCTTAGTACGTTTTATACACTGTCATGTTTGATTTTCTTCTTATTAATAAGGTCAGGGATACCTGCCAGAATGTGCCTCCCATAGAACTAATTTCGGTGAATCATCAAAATGTATACCTTTTTTGGCCTGAGCCAAACTTAGAACATGATATTTGTGATCTACTAACATTCAGCTCTCTAAGTGATTTTGTTAGGATAATAAGGTAGGCAACAATATGCGTGCAAAAGCTAATTTAATCTCGGGACAAATCTCTGAAGTGTACAAATTTTGGATGAAAGCATTTTTTAAAAAAAATTTCTTTAACAAAAGAAAATAAAATAAAAATCAAATGCATCTGAAACCAAGCTGACCTTTTAAGTTTGAAAAAACCAAGCACCAACTACTTTTTAACCCCGATTTTTGGACCTTTACAAAATTAATCTCGAGTTTTAGAAGCATTACAGTAACCCCTCTTGACGGGGTTTGATCATAAGGCAACGCCGGAAATCTATAAAACGAAAAAAAAAAATAATAAGCAAATAAATAAACCATAATTTTCTCCCGCCAAATTCTTCGTTACCTAAAAAAAATCGAGAAATTTTCTCTTTGGCTGTTCTAGTTCATTATTAATTAATCTATCAAACACAATATCCTTCATCACCATAACCTGTGTTGAAGTTGGGAACAAGTTTCTCCAAATTCGCCCCAATAGAGCCGAAACAGTGAGGTCTATCTTTGACCTCGGTTGCTTCGGCGTCACCACCGCTGCCTGCTCTTCACTAGTACTACTAGCTGTAGAACAAAATCAAATCGAATTCAAAAATAAATTATTTTAACAAAGTATTCATTATATTCCTTACTATTTCCCGGAAATTCGGATCATCCTTTTTCCCTCTTTTTCCGAACATTTCAGTCATCTTTTCCCAACCCCAATTCGATTCCGGTGGCCTGAGAGTAACCCAAACCCTTAAAATCTAAATTGAAACTCCAGAAGAGGGCACAAGGAAGGCCCAAACATTTTAACACTTCCCCAATTTTGAAGTGCAAAATAACTAGTGATGGTCGTAGTGTAATGGTGGCGTGAGGTGGGGAGGGGTTCAAAAGTGCGTATGTTAATTAATTTGGTGGGAAGGGAATATAGGTTTTGTTTATTTATTTATTCCTTTTTGGTTGAAAAATATTTTAGGAATTCAAATTTTAGCCAATGACGGGCCATTTTTTACAGTTCAAAATTTTGTTGATGTTCGGATGGTGGTGTCATTATTCGGGTGAGGAATAGTTTGATCGGCTAGACAAATCAAGGTCAAGGAGGTAATTATAGTTTTACCAAAATTTAATCGCCCAAAAAGACATTCTTGTGGATCTCATGGAGAATGATGACATATGTACCATATGTTTGTAAAGTGAACCAAATTAAAAAAAATATATAAAAAAATCTATCTGTTACGAAGGATGTATTGTACCATATGTTTCTCTTCTTTTTCCTTATAGAGGCAGATGATTAATTGGGAGAAGACAAAACGATTGAACTGATTGCCTAATTAGGTTACATTTGAACTCGTAGAGAATGATGACATACTGGCACGCATGCACGTACGATATTCGGTTAGCTAGTTCAATTATTGATCTTTCCTGTTATTATTATTTGTTTTAACAGTTTAATTTCTGTTTGTAAAATTTTATGGTTTCCATTTTAATTACAATTTTCATTTCAAAATAGATGTTTGTGGAGAAAAAAAACGAAAAAAATTCTCAAGTTAAAATTCAAAATAGTTCTCATACAAGTTTTCGTTAAACAGAAAATATTCTCTTAAATGTAACCTAATATTAGAAAATTTTGGTAAACGATATACTCCCTCCATCCCATAATTATTGTCCAGTTTGAGTCTTCATTATTAGTACAATTTGTACTAAAAATAAAATCTCAAAGTGGACAATAACTTTGAGACAGATGGAGTATCAGTTTAGTGATACAACACATATATATAGTTTGAGATCTGTACGATTTCCATCTCAAATAAATAGAAAAAAAACAACTAGCCTAGATACACAAAGTTTTAATCACCAAAGAAGAATACTAGCCTTCAGTTTTGATTTAGGTGAATTGAAATAATAAAATAAAATAAAATTGTAATACTACATATGATCGGCGTGAAGATAAAGAATTGGCACGCAAATTAGTCAAATTTCCTGACAGAAGTAGATACAATTGGTATCAACATTACGTGTTACTGATCAACTCCCAACCGAGAGTTTAAGCACAATTACAAGTTTATAGGGTTTAAGGTATGTATATACTCTATACATATGTCTATATATATATATATATACTCTAACACCTCCCTTCAAGTTGGAGCATGCGGATTCGAAATGCCCAACTTGGACAAAAAAGAAGCAAAGTGACGTTGACCCAAAGCTTTTGTAAAGATATCGGCGAGTTGAGAGTGGGTAGAAACATAACAAGGAGAAATAACGCCTTGAATAAATGCATCACGTAAGAAATGACAATCCACCTTAATATGCTTAATCCGCTCATGCAAAACAGGATTAGCAACCAGATGAAGAGCAGACTGCCTATCACAATGAAGACGCATAGGATGAGAATGAGAAACACCAAGACTCAGGAGTAAAGCCCTCAGCCATTTGAGCTCACAAACAGTACTAGCCATGGCACGATATTCAGCTTCAGCAGAAGAACGAGAAACAACTTGGTGCTTCTTAGTACTCCAGGAAACAAGAGAGAGACCTAGAGTGATAAACCACCCAATAAGAGAATGCCGAGACAGAGGACGGTCAACCCAATAAGAGTCACACCAACCATACAACTGAAGATCACTATCAGCACGAAGTAAAATACCTTGACCAGGGTTGTTTTTCAAGTAACGAACAACACGAAGCGCAGCAATCCAGTGAGCCTGCTGAGGAGACTCCATAAATTGAGCCAACGCATGAACTGAATATGAAAGGATGTCCAACACATATTTCATTTGGCAAAGAAAAATGCTAGAAGAATTACGAGCTACTTTCAGGCCCAAGAAATATTTAAGAGGTCCAAGATCTTTCATGTGAAAAAACTGCTGAGGTATTGTTTAGAAGTAGAAATAGCAACGGTATCATTACCATCAATGAAAAGATCATCCACATAAACCAAGAGACTAAGAGAAACATGGCCACGATGAAGAGTGAACAGAGAGTAATCAGTAGAAGATTACACAAAACCATATTGCTTGAAAGCATGGTCCAACTAGGCAAACCAGCAAAAGGAGCTTGTTTTAGGCCATGCAACGAGCGACGAAGGCGACAAACCTGATTAGGAGTGGTGGTGTGAAAGCCATGGGAAATTTCATATAGACTTCTTCATGTAAATCACCATGAAGAAAAGAATTGTGGACATCTATCTTATGTAATTCCCAATTTTTAGCAGTAGCAACCTCTAAGAAAGTACGAACCGTGACCATTTTAGGACCAGGTGCAAAGGTTTCTTGATAGCCAATCCCTTCAACCTAATTATTACCAAGAACAACAAGACGAGCCTTATAACGTCAACAGGCCCACCAACAAGATACCTAATTTTAAAAAACCACTTACAACCAATAACACGCTTGTCCGGGGGCAAAGAAGTAATATCCCAGGTATTGTTACGCTCTAAAGTACGAATTTCATCACTCATAGCATAACGCCATTTGGCATCTTGCATGGCCTCACAAAAAGAACGAGGTTCAACACCTGCAGTAAGAGCTGCTAGGAAAACTCGATGCAAAGGTGTAATTGAGTCACAGTTTACATAATGTGTTATAGGATAGGTTGTACCTGAGGACGTAGACGAAGCAGGTGAGATAGTAGGGAGTGGGGGGCAGACAGTATGGCGAGAGTAATCACAGAGGCAAGTAGATGGAAACTTCATACGATGACCAAGACCCAATAACCCTAGAGGATCAATGGGAGATGAAGAAATCCCCCCCTCAGGCGACAACTCAACATCCTCAGAAACAAGGGTTACCAGAGGAGATGGGGACGAGATATTCGGTGAAATTGGAGAAACAGTGGGAGGAGCATCCAGAAGTACACTCTCATTATCATCATCCAAATTAGGAAAACGACAAATGACTGGAGAAGAGTTCGAAGAAGAAGCTGAAGAAGCATAAGGAAATTGATTCTCACAAAATACAACATCACGTGAAGAGAAGATTTTCCGAAGTTCAAGATCATACACAAGCCAACCTTTCTTGCCAATAAGATACCCCCCAAACACACATTTCCAACTACGAGAGGCAAATTTGTCACCCCCGCTGGTAGTTATGAACATAGCAAAGTCACCCAAACACACGCAAGTGCTGAAGAGAGGGAGGCTTGTGATAGAAAAGCTCAAAAGGAGTTTTACCATTAAAAGCGGAAGATGGATTATGGTTAATCAGATGGCCTGCAGCTAAAACACAATGACCCCAAAATTCAATAGGAAGATGGGCTTGAAAAAGAAGAGAACGAGCCACATTAAGGATATGTTGATGCTTGCGTTCGACATGGCCATTTTGTGTAGGTGTGCCAACACAAGAAGTTTCATGTAAAATACCATCTTGACGGAAATATTCACCCATAGACATAAACTCAGAACCATTATCACGACGTACAATTTTAACCAACTTCTCAAATTGCCAAGGAACCATGGCAAAGAACTCACGAAGACGAGCACGCACAGATGTCTTCTCCTCAAGTAAATATATATCCAGGTTCTTCTAGAAAAATCATCTACAATTGTTAAAAAATATCGGGCACCATTAAATGCCGGGGTACGATAGGGCCCCAACAAATCACAATGGATTAAAGAAAATAATTCCGAACTTTTATTAATACTAACCGGAAAATTGTCACGAGACTGTTTTATCAATTCTAGGAGTACTAGAATCAACAAGAGATAACTTGCGAAGGACCTGGGAAAGAAATGTCACAAGTATTATCAATACTAGAAGTACTAGAATCAACAAGAGATAACTTACGAAGGACCTTGGAGGAAGGATGCCCCAATCGCTGATGCCACAAGGATGCAAATATGTCAGAGGAAGCACGAACCGCCTGAACAATAACTGGCTCACGGAAAAATAGAGACCCCCCAACTGCTCACCCGTGCCAATTAGAGTCCTCGAGGTGCGGTCCTGGATAACACAAAATTTTTGAGTGAATTCAGCAACACAATGGGGATCCTCTAATAAGTGATACAATGAGATAAGACTACACTTCAAACTAGGAACAAACAGAATCTTATGTAAAGTAACAACATTTATCTGAATAGTACCCGCTTGAGATGCATAAGTCATAGAACCGTCCGGTATTTGAACCGGATGAGGAGAAATAGGCCTCAAATACGTCAAGGAAGGCAAAAAACATGTCATATTGTGAGAAGCGCAACAATCACACATCCAAGCACTAGAAAAAGGCTTACAGGAAAGAGAAACACCACTCTTATTATTAAGCATAGTGATCAATGTCGGCCACTGCTCAGGGAAAAGACCCGTAACAACAGTTTTGTCGCTATCAGTAATGGAACCACGACCACCCGTCGAGCTATCCGAACCACGACCAGTTGAACCACGGCCGGTCGAACCACCACGACCACCAGACCCATGGCCAGCTGAACCACCTGAATGCCGACTAGAGCTTGGCCACGAATCCGGGTAGCTGATTAGATCAAAACAACTTGAAACTTCATGCCCAGGTTCTGAGCAATGAGAGCATACAACATTTTTATCCTTGAACTCCATGGATTTAGAATTAAATCGCGTGACTGGAGTGGGAAGAAGCGCCGGATGAAAAGACTGCACCTGAAAACTCATGACATTACCGCCTGTGTCATCGAAAGAATTTGACAGTGATCGGATTCGTTCTTCTTGAAAAAGAAGGGAGTAAGCCCGATTCACTGAAAGAAGAGGGTATTGGGAAAGAAGACTAGACCAAAGGCTACCATACAAGGTGGCGTCCAAGCCCATCAACAGTTGGTGAAGCTTCTCAGATTCGGCATGAACATCCAGGGAACCACACGTACAAGTTTGCAAAGGCTCGTAATTATGGAGTTCTTTCCATAATTACTGCAAACGAACGTAATACGAGGATATACTCATCCTTTTTTGCGTACAATTTGCTAAATCAGTCTTCAATTGATGAATTCTCGGCCCGTTAACCACACCAAACCGCTCCCGAAGATCAGAGCAGAGAGTAGTGGCTACTTCACAGTGCGGGACAGTCAATCGAATAGACGGGTCCATGGAA